TAGAACCTTTACCCAGTGACTGATGCAGAGGGAGACACCCACAGCTAAACAGTGAACTGAACTGAACTCCTGGAATCCAGTGACAGAGAGGGAAGACTGATGAGCATAGGGGTCATGACTGGGCTGTTTTAAACCACAGAAACAGCTGACCTGAACAAGGAGGAGCTATTGAACCCCATACTGATGGCTGGGAAGCCAGCATGGAACTGATCTAGACCCCCCTGAATGTGGGTGTCAGTGAGGAGACCTAGGCAATCTATGGGGCCTTGGGTAGTAGATCAGTATTTATCCCTGCCATACAAATGGACTTTGGGTCCCCATCCCACAATGAGTGATGCTCCCTCATCCTGGAATCTTGGGGAAAGGCCTAGGCCCTGCTGTGAATGAGATGACAGTCTCTGGAGTTCCTCAATGGAGGGATTTACCCTCCCTAGGGATCAGAATGGGGATTGGTTGGGGGGTTGGGGGGCTGGCTGGGGGAGGCAGGGGAGGAGGAGAGGGAGAGGGTACTGGGATTGACATGTGAAGCAAACTTGTTTCTAATTTAAATAAGAATAATAATAAAAAAGAACTTCCAGCGCCATCACCATGACTGGTCTCGAGCTCTGCTACAGAGCTATAATGATAAAAAACTGCATGGTACTGACAAACAGACACACTGATGAATAAAATACCCAGTTATAAATCCAATGTTGTGGAATATTCCTTTACCCTGTGTGAATACATGTTAATGTGATTGGTTTAATAAACAAGCTGACTGGCCATGAGAGACAGCAAGATGGGCATGCCATACTGAGAAAAGGTACCAAGTCAAGTGGCTAAGCAGAGATTAATAGAAGTGGGTTAATTTAAATGTAAGAGTTAGCTAGTAAGAAGCCTCACCTATCAGGCAAGCATTTATAATTAATATAAGCCTCTGTGTGGTAATTTGGGGAGCAGCTGCTGGATATCTGGGAACAGTCAGGCAAGAGAGAAACATCCGACTACAATCCAAATTTGCTCCTTGAAATTTGTGTTCATGTGTAATGAATGGCTAATTTTCACCTGAGATATTGGTTCCAGGGGATTTTGGATTCACAGTGAATCCCTAGACTCCTCAGAGATTTACTCTCAATGGTAAACAATGACTGTGGGAGACGGCTTGGAGGCTATAAAACCATGCTATAATTATCTTGCCTTTCTACTTTAGAATGAATCCTTATTTCAAAAGGTGAGTGTAAAGACATCCCTTTACTATACGAATACACTTGGTTATTTGAAAATATGTATATGTTTATAAGTTGTAGTCAAGAAACAAGTCAGGTATAATCAAGAAAAATTAACATAATTTATATTTCCAAAGTGAAATTCCGGTGAATATTTATGCATAGAACTTAGTTTTCATACTTTCTTATTTATCCATGCACTTAGAAGACTGGAAATCCATGTGCTCTCTAATGCCATATTAGCTCAAAACTCAAGAAAAATGCGAATGAATTTATTACCTTTGACATTGGTGATTTTCTGACAAATGTCTCATGGGAAGACAGACTTAGTTTACTGACTGAAAACTATAGGGTCACAGGGTCCAGACACTGTGGACAAACAAGAGAATATGAAGTCAAAAATCTCAAGACATGAGAATCTGCCTACTTCTAGATGGGGAACGTGGGTAAACTTAATATTCCAGGTTGAATATTTACCTGTGTACTTTGTAAGCAATCACATTATTTAATTCCATTTTACTCCAGCTAGAAAACATCATTATGTGAAAACAGGATTTGGTGAGTGTGTGAATAAGTACCTACTACTATTATTAAAAATAGTATTCAGTATGTGATTTGTGAGAAGGCAATGGTTTAATTAGTAAGTATTTGAAGTATTTAATAAATTCATAGTATGTAGTAAACTTGTAGTAGGTTCTCTCATTTGTAATTTTAGTTCTTCCAAGAAATTTTATTTCTCACTATAAAAACTAGTCTTAAAGTAATCAGGTAGTTGATAGAGTTGACAACACACATTTCTAACCATAGTCCTTCTATTTGAAAAGCTTACCTGCTGCCTCTCCTAGATTAAAACATGCTCCTCATTTTATTGTCACTCTTCAAACTATTAAGCCTGTGGTTTGTGTCTTCATTCTAATGTTTCTTATGTAACATTAAGTTACTTAGCGTTTTCAGATCACACATTTTATTAACCATAAAATTGAATCATTAAGAGTCCTAATATTTCATGTAAATGGTAGTAGACTACTATATAATGTATAGCAGTACAAGTGATTTGTAAAGGATTCTTTTTTGTGATTTTTTAAAACTTTTGTTTACTTAATTATAATTTTAAATAGCTTCTTTCACATGTCAACCCCAGTTCCCTCTCCCTCCCCTCCTCCCGCAACCCCCCCCACAATTCCCCCCAGCCTCCCACCCTATCGCTACTTCCTTCCACATAGGGGATATCTAGAGTCTGTCATTTCACTCAGGGCAGGGTACAGGCACTTCACTAAGAGTCCAGATTGAGAAAGCATCCATCTTTGTGTTATGGACACACGATGTCTGTTTGTATGCCAGGGATAAACACTGATCCACGGCCCAGGGCCCCATAGGTTGCCCAGGCCTCCTCACTGACTCTCACATTCAGGGGGTCTGGATCAGTCCCATGCTGGCCTCCAAGCTGTAGGTCTTGGGTCCAAGAGCTCTCCTCTGTTGAGATCAGCTGTCTCTGATGGTTTTGCCAGCCATTCTTTGCCAATTTGCTCATCACTCCTCTCTCTCTGTCACTGGGTTCCTTGGGTTCAGTTCAGTGTTTAACTGAGGGTGTTTGCCTATGCTTCTATCAGTCACAGGATGAAGGCTCCAGGATGGTTATAGACATCAAGTTCATTATCAGGAATGGGCATTCGAGGTGGTCTCTCCACTATTGCTTAGCTTGCCAGTTGGTGTCATCCCTTTAGATCACTAGAGGTCTCACTGGTGCCAGATCTCTCTTCTAACCTATGATTCCCTCTTCCCCCTATTTTACCCCCCACTCAACCTTCCTGTTCCCCCGTGACCTACTCTCTCTTCCTCTTGTCCCCCTCTCTTCTTCCAAGCTCCCACTCCCCCTCACCCCTCTCCGTGTACCCCATCTGTTCAGAAGATCTTGCCTCATTCCTCTTCTCTTGGGTACCATGCATATCTCTTAGGTTCTTTCCTGTTTCCCAGACTCTCTGTCAGTGGAGGTGCAGACTGGTACTGTCCTGATCCATGTCTAAAATCCATATATGAGTGAGTACATGCCATGTTTGTCTTTTTGTGACTAGGTTACCTCACTCAGGATGGTTTCTTCTAGTGCCATCCATTTACCTGCAAATTTCACGATTCCATTGTTTTTTTCTGCCGAGTAATACTCCATTGAGTAAATGAACCACATTTTCTCTATCCACTCTTCAGTTGAGGGGCATCTAGGTTGCTTCCAGGTTCTGGTTATTACAAATAATGCTGCTATGAACATAGTGGAGCAGATGCCCTTGTTGTATGAATTTGCCTCTTTTGGATATATGCCTAAGAGTGGAATTGCTGGGTCCCATTTTCCTGAGGAATCTCCATACTGATTTCCAAAGTGGCTGTACGAGTTGGCATTCACACCTGCAGTGGAGGAATGTTCCTGTCTCTCCACATCCTCTCCAGCATAAATTGTCTTCGGTGTTTTTGATTTTAGCCATTCTGACAGGAGTAAGATGGTATCTCAGAGTTGTTTTGATTTGCATTTCCCTCATGGCTAAGGATGTTGAGCACTTTTTAAGGGTCTCTTGGACATTTTAGCCTCCTCTATTGAGAATTCTCTATTTAGTTCTGTACCCCACCTTTTAATTGGATCCTTTGGTGTTTTGGAGACTTGCTTCTTGAGTTTTTTGTAAATTTTGGAGATTAGCCCAATGTGAGATGTGGGGTTAGTGAATATCTTCTCCTATTCTGTGGACTGCCTTTTTGTCTTGTTGACTGTGTTCTTTGCCTTACAGAAGCTTCTTAGTTTCAGGAGGCCCCATTTGTTAATTGTCGATCTCAGTGTCTGTGCCACTTGTGTTATGTTCAGGAAGTGGCCTCTTGTACCAACTCATTGAAGAGTATCTCCCACTTTCTCTTCTAAGAGTTTCAGTGTGTTGGATTTATGTTGAGATCTTTGATCCATTTGGACTTAAGTTTTGTACAAGGTGATAGACATGGATCTATCTGCAGTTTTCTGCATGCCAATACCCAGTTATGCCAGCACCATTTGTTGAAGATGCTTTCTTTTTTCCATTGTATAGTTTTAGCTTCTTTGTCAAAAATCAAGTGTTCATAGGTGTGTGGATTAAAATCAGGGTTTTCAGTTCGGTTCCCTTGGTCTATCTGTCTGTTTTTGTGCCAATACCAAGCTGTTTTCAGGACTATAGCTCTATAATAGAGCTTGAAGTCAGGTATGGTAATGTCTCCTGAAGTTCCTTTATTGTATAGGGTTGTTTTGGCTATCCTGGGCCTTTTGTTTTTCCATATAAAGTTGATTATTGTTCTTTCAAGATCTGTGAAGAATTGTGCTGGAATTTTGATAGGGATTGCATTGAATCTGTAGACTGCTTTTGGCAAGATTGCCATTTTTATTATGTTGATCCTACCAATCCAAAGGTCAGTAATTACTTAAGATTTCATTGCATAATGTTATATTTGCAAAGCTTAATTCTTTCTGATTTGTTATTCTCAAAAATCTCATAGTTTACACATTTAGTTTTAAATACAATTAGTTATCTTTTATCATATACATGGATGTAAATTAAAGATACATTATTACAAAGAGTTTGCTAGTATTTCACTTTTAAATTTATAAAATAATTAATGCACACATATTTGGAAACTCTGGGAGTCCAATGTAATACCCCCAAATATGTGTTTTCAATGACATATATTTTGTGCAATATATGTGCTATTGAAAATGTAGTTAGATATTTATAAATCCTTTCTTGTAATGTCTCCATCACAGCCTTGATCTAGCATCAGCTATATCATCCCATGGCTTTTGTGGAGGATGGAAACCACACTGCAGTAACAGAGTTCATTTTATTGGGATTGACAGATGACCCAGTTCTCAGAGTTGTCCTCTTCACCATCATCCTGTGCATCTACCTGGTGACTGTGTCTGGGAATCTCAGCACCATCCTCCTCATCAGAGTCTCTTCTCAGCTCCATCACCCCATGTACTTTTTTCTCAGTCACTTGGCTTCTGTTGACATAGGCATCTCATCTTCTGTCACACCCAATATGCTTGTCAATTTCCTGGTAGAAAAAAACACCATCTCCTACCTTGGATGTGCCATCCAGCTTGGCTCAGCTGCTTTCTTTGGATCAACTGAGTCCTTCATTCTGGCTGTCATGGCTTATGATCGTTTTGTGGCAATCTGCAACCCACTGCTTTATTCAACCAAAATGTCCTCACGAGTGTGTATCCAGTTGCTTGTAGGATCTTATATTGGTGGTTTTCTTAATGCTTCCTCCTTTATTCTTTCCTTCTTTTCTTTTCTCTTCTGTGGACCAAATAGAGTCAATCACTTTTTCTGTGATTTTACTCCTTTAGTTGAACTTTCCTGCTCTGATGATAGTGTCCTCATAGTTGTGGATTCATTTTCTGCGGGCTCCATCATTGTGATCACAGTGTTTGTCATAGCCATTTCATACGCCTACATCCTCATCACCATCCTTAACATGGGTTCCACTGAGGGTCGCCAGAAAGCCTTCTCCACTTGCACCTCCCACCTCACTGCAGTGATTGTTTTCTATGGGACTGTCACATTCATCTATGTGATGCCCAAGTCCAGCTACTCCACAGACCAGAATAAAGTATTATCTGTGTTCTACATGGTGATGATCCCCATGTTGAACCCACTCATCTACAGCTTTAGGAACAATGAGATTAAGGGTGCTCTGAAGAGACAATTTAGTAAGAAAACATTTTCCTAGCAATGTTATTCATTTCATGCCCAACCAAAAATATTTCCAAAAATCAGATATTGAATATTATTTTCAGTTGTATTCCTATCTCTAAGTAATTCCCTGCTATGTAGAAATTACTGACTGCATAATTTTTAAGTCTGTGTCCATTTTCAATAATAGTTACCCTTAAGTGTATATAATAGCTATAGTTAGAAGAAACACATTTAGAGAGAAAATAGCAAGATGGAACAGACCATAAAATTGTTAGAGATGTTTTAATTATAGTGGAATCTTTTATTTAGATGGGACATTTACACTCATAGGCATTAGATATGTGTTACAATCCTCTGATGTCAAAACTGGCTGTTTGTGAGAGGGGTGTCCAATTTTGGGGTAAGATATTGCTGTCCAATGTGATACCCTAGGAAACATTTTCTTTTTTTAAATTATGTGAGTGAAATTCAGAGCCTGATAGAATCAATGTGATGTAAATGTAAACCATAGCCTCAGCTTACCTGAGGATATTTATTCATCTCTATATGATAATAACAATCATATTAGTTTTTCTTTCCCAACTTATTTCCTTACACTTAGGACACCATTATTGAATTAGTTCATTTCTGTAGGAACTGTATTTTCTCTCTCCCATTCTCTGTTGTTCTACTTTGCCAAAAGTTTGTAGATTTGAGGTGAACATTGATCTACTATTTATTGCCAGTGTCTCTACTTCAGGCTTATAACTTTCACAATAAATGTGCCAATAAGATGGCTAATTTACTGTGTCATCTTGACTATGATGTAATGCCCAGATGTCTGCTCCAATACCATTGCAAGTAAGACTTAAATGGTATAAGGAGTTATTTAGCATCTCCAGTCACTGAATACAGCAGATTCTTTCTCAATGGTTTTATCTCTCAAAGACTTTTCTGATCAGCTCAGTCTTTTAAATATTAGTCTTCTGCCTCCAGCATGGTTTTAAATCGGAAGCTATAGCACCAATTCCTTTTAGTATATTCTAGCTGTTTGCCTACCCTATGAATTGTAGGTGACCAGTCATGCAATTTCGGGAGAAAATTACTCTTTGTATCTCTCTCCTCCTTTTCCATATCCCTGTTTCTCCTTGTATATGTGAATTTTATGAGGCAATCCCATAAAAATCTGTCAGAAGAGATGCTGCATGTGAGTGTGTCTGTGTATATCTATATACACACACATATATGTGTCTATATTCATGTACAGGCTTGTTTCACTGGGGAAGCCTAACTGATACTACTGTTCACTAAATTTTGATTTCTATCCCTCAAACTCAGAATCAGTTTGTGTGTTTATTCAGAAAAAAATCTTGAGAGATGAAAGTGAACTATAGGAATTATTCATTTGCTACCATTTCAAAACCTTAAACTTGTTCATATTATTTGCTAACTCAAGACCCTCCCCTCTCACACACAGTACTACTACCCACAGTGTACTTTTCCTTTCATATTCGTCACACTGTAATTAGTCTGGATCTACCAGCTTGTCATTGTTGAGTATTTCTAGGAAGACTTCTTTAAACTCCACTGTAAACCAAGGATACATTATATGATGATCAGCCCTTCTAATCCTGAGTGCTTGTTGTTGTTGTATACTTGTGTCTTGTTTTTGTACAGTGCAATTTTGCTTTGACAGCTAAAATAATGTCCTCTTTCCCTGCTCTTGAAATTTCACATAATTCTAGGATCCTAGTATGCTTTAACATACATTTAGTTGAAGTAAATGAAAAATTTAATATCTAAATGGCTAAATGAAATTTTACTATGCCTAATGCATAGATTCAGTAGAGTCTGATTATTTAACAGAAGGTGTAAAGAAGCACTGCAATGTAAGGGATACATCAGAGTCAAAGAAATCCTCTTACCTGTTATCCTTAAGTCACAGTTTTTAAAGATGAGTAAAATGAGAAAACAGTTGAGAAATTTTTGCCACTATGTTGCTTAGTTTACTGATATATCCTTCAACTCTCTGCTTCAGGTAAAGTGGTTTCTATTAGACTAAATTTATGAAACAAAATAAAAGAGAAGTAAAATATAGATTTTATGAAATATAAAAATAAATTTCCAGAGCTTTTTTTGAAAGAGATGATCTATTGGAAGAGCATTTGTAAGTCCATAGGAGTTGGATTATTGTACTGTTCTCTGACTCATATTAGCTAATTGTTTGGGGGGTTCCACACTGAGATTCACCTGAGGTCTGTGATACCTAGTAAAAATATGTATTCTGAATGGTCCAGATTGAACATACTGCTTGCTATGCTGATTTATGTATATATGCTAGTAACTAAAACTTTTATTTACTTCACTGCACTCTCTTTTACTCCTAACTCATACCTTTCCTGTAATAAACCACATCATCTACTCAGTGTGTTGATTCAGAAACCTAAGAGAATTACCTCTCTCTTCTGTCTATAGTCCTACAGTAGAAAAAAAAACATTGCACATTCTGGTCAGCATGATTCCACCACTCCTCTGCATCTTCACTAACCAAGTATTCAAGCCAACAATTTTTCACATTCACTTTATATTAAATTGTGCCATTAAGGGGATTTAATGTTATGCTATGGATTGACTAGGATGTGGTGACCACAAGATTGGTTCAACATGAGCCTCTGATAGCATTTTAGATTCAATTAGCATTTAGTATTCATTGACTAAAACATAAAATTCTTCACAATCTCGGTAGTCCTGGTCCAATCGTCTATAGGTCTTTATGACTGAGTTCTTCAGGAGGACTTTTGATCTATTCTGACTTTAAGGTCTAATATACTCTCTCTCTCTCTCTCTCTCTCTCTCTCTCTCTCTCTCTCTCTCTCTCTCTGTGTGTGTGTGTGTGTGTGTGTGTGTGTGTGTGTGTGCTTGCATGCACACATACTCTGTTTATATTGGAAAGTTTTCTTCTTCTGTCCTTACTCTCTTCTAATTTATTCTACATACATCAGCCACAGTTATAAGCCTAAAGAAATTATTTTCCCTCTCAAAGCCTCCAACGATCTACATTACTTACTATGTCTTCTAAATTGCCGAAATGCCATCCTGGTGGTTTATACTAATTATCAACTAGACAGGATCTAGAATCTACTATGAGGCAAACTTCTGAGCATATCTGTGGAGGAGTGTCTAGTTTGGGTACATTGAAATATGAAAACCCAATCTTAGTGTTAGACTCCATTCAATGGCCCACACCAAGTTGACTATAGTAACATAGTGTATCTTACTGCATAGTATACTACTTGTCACATATTCATGGCTTGTTTGCCCACAAAACTAAATATTTCATTTAGGTGGTCAAAATATTTTTTTGCTCTAGACTCTAAATTCTACACACATATAGAAATTCTGTAAATTTAAATAAATAATAAGCCTTAATGAATGAAAATGCTTATTCAGTAGAAAAGACACTTTCTCCGTCTAAAATCAGATATTGTTGGTTGTGGATATATCACTGGGATATGTAAACACTTTCTAGACTAAAGAAAAGGTCATGGTCATAAACATTTGTCTTTCTTTGAGGCCTGCTCCTTGATAAGGGAAATGATCATATTTGTAGAACTCTCCAACACAACGAGACTGTTTTAACACATTTCTCTTAGTAAGCTCCTTCCATCCTAAATATGGAAGCCTCCACCTCTCAATTGCCATGCTGGATTGTGTTAGACTACCATTCTTTAAAAATGAATGAGAGTTGGGACAAATACTTTTGGTGTTCATTATTTTTTAAAAAGTATTAGGACTACTACAAAGGAAAGGAGGTGAACTGCTTGGGTACCTCAGGACTAGAGGGATAGCACAGCAGTGAGTCTCTTGCGTTTCAGATTTTCGTTTACTAAAGATAATGTGGAGCTTCCACCAGAACCCCAGACAAGCACACATAGCTGTAAACTTGATTTTCCTAGTAAAGTGACAGTTAAACATTGACCTTGGTCCAATGGAAGCTCCTTGGGCACAACTTGCCATAATTTATACAAATACAACTGAAGAAGTAAAACCCTCCAACTCTCCCTACTTTCAATGATTCTATGGAGTGGAGTACTGATTCACCCTGTTGCTGTGGAATATTATTTCAAGATGTGTTATATTTTTATGTTGTGGAACATTTGTTTAATGATGCAAATAGGTATTGCATTGTTTTAGTTGCATTTTTAACTCTCTGAAGCTGTGTTACCTTGGCTATCTAACACTGGATTGACCTAATAAAGAGGTGAACAACAAATAACAAGATGAGAAAAAGAATAGGCAGGGCTGGAAGACAAAAAGAATAAATGGGAGTAGAAATCTGGGAAGAGATGAAGAAGTGAGAATAGAAGGGGACATCCACCCAGCAACACAGCCAGATATGGAATAAGAAGGATAGAAAAGGAATACAGAAATAGAAAAAGGTGAAATCCCAGAGGCAAAAAGTAGGTGGGATCATTTATGTTAAGCTAGCTAGAACCGAGCTGAGCTAAGGCCAGGCATTCATAAGTAAGAGTAAGGTGCCATTTGGGAACTGGGTGGTGGAAACCCCAAAAAGCCAAGAGTGAAAAGCAGCCAACTATACCTTATTTTCTTTTCTGCTCTCTCTGTCTGGGCCTGTAATTTTACTGGGGGAATGAGCACCCTACCATCTTGCAGCCTAGTGAATGTTCTGTTGGTTAGATTTTTTTTTGCAACTTGAAACCAGCTAGAGTTGTCTGGGAAAGGGGGACAGTGGTTAAGAAAATGATTCCATCAAAATGACCGGTGGGCATTTCTGTAAGGCATTTATATTGTATAGTTTCTGTAAAACAATAGGTTGTAATATTGTATTCTATGTGAATAGCTATCTAGTTTTCTTTCAAGTCAGTGTTCTTGGCATATATAGGAACTGGGGAAAACATAACAGAGTTCATTATTTTGGTGTAACAGAGGACACTACAGTCTGTACCATTTTATTTGCTGTGTTTCTGATACTCTACTCTGTCACCTTAATGGGCAATGTGAGCATAGTCATGCTAATCAGAGGCAGCCTTTGGC